GTGATGGGCTGATGGGATACTGGTGATACTGGGATACTTGGGGTACTGGGAGTGATGGGATACTGGGGATACTGGGAATGATGGGATACTCAGGGTACTGGGAATACTGGGAGTGATGGGATACTGGGGATACTGGGAATGATGGGATACTCAGGGTACTGGGAATACTGGGAGTGATGGGATACTGGGCATACTGGGGATACTGGGCTTCATTAATGAGCTCAGGAGCTGGACATTCTTTATAAAAGCTCGCCAACAGCAAACAGAAACTCTGGGAATGAATCCCAGGAATTCCAAAGGATTTGGGATCTCCCCGGATTCCACCCCAAATTCCACCTTTTCCCAGAAGTCAGCCCTAAAATTCCACCATTTCCCAAAACTCATCCTAGAATTACTTCCCTGGATGGTTCTTTTCTCCAATTTTCCCATTTTTTGGGGGAAAAAAAAAGCTCCCTGAAATGGCCGATTTTTGGGGAAAAAAAAACTGGGAATAGTGAATTTGGGGGGAAAAAAAAAGTGGGAGTGAGTGATGACTTTTTGGGAAAAAAAACCCAGGAATGTTGGTTTTGGGGTAGATTTGAGGATATTTTGGGATTGTCTCATTTCCCATGGAATCTGCGGCACCCAGGGAATTTTGGGAGTGGTTTTGATCCCTAAATTTGGGGTTTTCCCGTTTTTCTTCCAGGTTACATCCAGAAAATCAAATCGGGAGAGGAGGATTTTGAGTCTTTGGCTTCGCAGTTCAGCGACTGCAGCTCGGCCAAGGCTGGAGGAGACCTGGGAGCGTTCGGGAGAGGTGAGGGATTCATCCCAAAAATTCCCCAAATCCATCAATTCCAGGGGATTCATCCCAAAAATTCCCCAAATCCCTCAATTCCAGGGGAATCATACCCAAAAAATCCCCAAATCCATCAATTCCAGGGGGTTCATCCCAAAAAATCCCCAAATCCCTCAATTCCAGGGGATTCATCCCAAAAATCCCCCAATCCCTCAATTCCAGGGGATTCAACCCAAAAAATCCCCAAATCCCTCAGTTCCAGGGGGTTCATCCCAAAAAATCCCCAAATCCATCAATTCCAGAGGATTCGTCCCCAAACCCCCCCAAATCCAGAGGATTTACTCTCCAAAAAAAGACCCAAATCCAAGGAATTCCAAGACATTTATCCCCCCTCAAAAAAAACCCTCAAATCCAGGGAATTCACCCCCAAAAAAACCCAAATCCACCAATTTCAGGACTTTTTCTCCCCCCAAAAAAATCTCATAAATCATGCAATTCCAGGGGATTTATCCCTAAAATCAGCCATTTCAGGGGTTGTTTCCCCAAAAA